TTCCTTTTGGGATCTTATAATTTTTATCATTTGTGTTTTTGTAGTGTGTATGGGCCCTAACCACAGACCAAAAACACACTGTTGTAGACACTGTACAAACACAGATAAAAAAGGTGGACACTGCCCCAGATAACTTACAGGTATAGGTTAGGAAACCACAGATAGATGTAGATGAGGAATACAAGCAGAGAGTAAGATGAGCATGATATACACGGCAAGAAGTGAAGTGGGCAGTGAAGTGAACTGTGACTTGTGAGGGGCGGAGAGAAGAAGAGTACAGTACTGATGCTATATTCCCACCCAACTGGTACAGAGCCAATCCCATAGGCTACATGGCACACCAGAGGAAAAAAATGCATGGCAAAAATATACACAGGACAACCTTCTCTCACCCTTTCCTACTCCCTCCTCTTCTCCTACCTTCTAAATTGCAGGCGTAGGAACATCAGCAAGCAGAAAACAGCAGCAAGCGCACGTGGTGCCAGGGAGTCCAAGCTGTTCTGGGAATCACAGTTCTCTAGACTGGCAGTGGAGTTCATTGCTGGGGGTTGGGAAGTGGGGGGCAGGGAGGGAAGGAGGGAACGTTCACCTCATTTTTTTTGCTACCAAGCCTGTAGTCCAGGGGGCAAAAATACTGAATTTGGCAGCAAAAAATGGGGGTCTGTTCTCATCCCTTCCAGCAGCAGCAAGCTCGATTGCTGGTCTACAAAACTATGATTCCCAGAATGCTTTGTACTCCATGACACCCATTGCCTGTGCTTGGCAATATTTGTCATAGAAGCAGGTAGGCAGTAGTAAGGCAAATGCGCCCCCCCCCCCGGCCCTTCTGATGCTCCTCCCCTTAGGTCAGGAGTTGGAAATATTTTTGGGCAGAGTGCCAAAAACACCTACGACCTCAACTTGTAAAATGTTGGCGTGCCAGGAGTTGACAGTGGGAAGGTGCGAGGGTCCTGAACCTTGTTGTGGCAGCACACCCCTGGCTCCTTGCTTGCCGTCCATCCCCAGGTACACATGCCAAGCAAGATGCCTTAGCATGCCACACTGGTCATCTCCCAGGGTACATGCCATGCTCACTTACCTCACTTTATGCCTCTGAGGGGCAGATACTTTGGAGGTTGGAAATGTGATCCTTAAGTTTCATTTGGAAAGGGAAAGGAGACAAGAAAGGGAGAGTCTCTAAGAGGGGAAAATCCTCCTACACACACGTCTTGCAACTTCCACTTGAGCACTGGTAGGCCAGGCCAACTACCACAAGACTGTCATTCAAGGTCTTAAATGCTCCTCTCCCCTGTAGTGATAGAAATTGTAATTTAGAGACACTTCCGTAGATTACAGAAATTGGGAATTGGGAGATGGTCCTTCAGGTCAGCTAATTAGAGAGAGATCCAGCTCTCTTTCAGAGAGAGAAGGAACCTGCAAGACTAAGTCACAGCTTGGATGTCAGGACCCTGGGACTGGTCCACATCGATGATGATGCTTATGGGCTTGAGTGTTGGGTGTAATTGCCCACAGTGATTGAAAAAAGGAGGGAGTGCAAAAGGGGTGGAGGGAATAAGTTGAGATCTCTTTTCTATTATTCTAACCTGATTAAAACATCAGAGCTAGAGCTGGGGATTTTGGAAAATGACATCACCAACCCTGCAAAAATATAAATCACCTGAGCTGGCAAGCCCATATCTGGCCTAGTCAATACCATTGTCTCTGCATGATAAAGGGTGAAAGTGTGCATTCACTGGGGATTCAATGTTTTGAACATTTGGGACTGGTAATATTGAAGTACAGACGAGGTTAGGGAAGAAGCAGAAAAGACTGTCATCATTTATTGGTGATGGGGAAGGGAGGCCAACAGTGAGACAGGAGATCAATTCTGTGAGAAGCAAGTCCCTGCAGGGTCTTTATGTGAGGGCTGAACTTGATGTGGTAGGGAGGGAGAGCCACCAAAACACCTTTCACCCCACCATAGGTGGTAGAAGGCTGGGGCTTGGGAAGGCTTAGCACCCCCCATCACCCAGCTAATTTTTCAGAGGCCAGCAACAGCAACACTATGATGCTGCTCGGCGTGCAGGCACACTAGCGCCCATGTGCACTCAGCTCTGTGTGGCTGAGGAAGAAAAGGCGAACCATGTGTGTGTTGCACCATGCAGAGCACAATGGGAGTTGTAGTTCTTGTGCTGACACGTACTTAGCCCTCCCGCCAAATAATATTGTTTCCCTCCGTCTGTGCACCCCACTCACCTTTGTGACCATTTTTCTTTTCGTTGTGGAGCACATGGGCTAGGTACAGGCATTCAAAAAGCCCAAGGCGGAATTGGTTACAGTTTTCTGCAAGCAGCGTAGTTTCAATCGGTAGCGAACAGAACATGTATTTGCCCTTTGGTGGGGGGGCAAATCTTAGACTGGGTTCTGCCATTTTTAAACCAGTCTATGTGCCAAACGTCTGTTCTGTTACAGGTACAGACAGCTTTTGTGTGCTGAACTTCTCTTCTGTTACAGGTATAGACATTGGCGATGTGCAGGGGGTGCATGCGGGTGCACATGCATCCCCTGAGATCGGCTGTGCACCCCCTGGAAGCGCCAGCCACGAAACTGGAAGTGCACTGGAGTGCGATCGGCCGCTGCGGGACCTGGTGTTTGGCTGCTGGAGGGCCCCCTGTCGGCGACCTGGTGCCCCCCAGACTCGGGAGGCACGCCGCCCATGGGTATAGGTCCGTTTCTCATCACTGCTACTGTTCAAGTCCAGGTTTGGATTACACTTTGCCTCTTGGGGGTCTGCAAAAAAAAAATTGGGCTGCCCATCACGATGCCCTAATAAAATCCGAGCCCCCCCTTATGATTTTCAAATCTTACAGGAGGGCTCTCATCTCTTATGGGGGGCTCAGCCCCCCCACCCCGGTAACTCAACCCCCAGGTAAAGTATTGTCTGCACCTGGCCATGAAGGGCAAGTCCTCCTGGCTGCTGGAACATGTTTGAAACCCGCCGTGCAGCAGGGCTTCAGAAAGCAGAGTGCAACTCCAAACCCGTGTTGTTATTATTATGGTCTTAACCTCGTTTTATTAACTTATTTCGGGGGGAAAGCTCTGGATCTTGGAATCTCTGAGGTGGGTGAGACCCGCTGCCGGCCTGAGGCGAGCAGAGCCTGCAGAAGCTAGAGCCGGGAGCGCATTGCTGGTGGCCGGGGCGGAGCGCGGGCGGGAAGTGGGGGGAGCGGCGCAGGCCGCGGCCGGAAGCGGCGGGAGCCGGGCAGCGCTGGGAGGCAGGTCCGCGCCTTTGTTCCGCGTTGCAGCCAGCCCCGCGCCGGAGAGGCAGCGGGCTGCGGGGCGGGAGCGGGGCTCCCGGGGCAAGGGGAGAGCCGGGCATGCGTTTCCCGTCACCAGCTCCAGAAATGGTCGCGCTGTTGAGTGGCGGCGCGGTCGGCTGCAGCCCTTGCGGATGCCTTTGCCCCCGTGCCGGGGCTCGAGTTCTTGCGCGCGGCCCCGGCACGTGTGTCCGGGCACTGCGGGCTCCTCGCGGCGCGGGTTGTGGCCTGTGGCCGGGGGGAGCACTGGCCCTGCTGGCTTCTGCGGGCGGGGGTCAGCCACGGGGTGTGCTGCACTGAGGCGGAGAAGGGCTGCGTGCCAGGCAGGGCCTGGCCCTGAGTTGGTCGTGAAGAGAATAAAGACATCTCCAATTTCTTATTCACTATTCTTTTTTAGTCTTTCTGTCTTTCTCTCTGTCTTTCGGGAGCAGTACTGGGAATGAGTGAGTGTCTTGGCGGTCACACTGGGGCTTGCCCTTTATTTCCAGAAATGCAGCAGGTTTTAAAACGGGTAAAAGGGAATACAGTGATTTGGCAAACGCGTGTGTGTAAGCACACGTGAGCTTGCATGTAGGCGCAAGCATGTGTGTGCGTAAGCACACATGATTTTGAGTGCAAGCGTGTGTGTGTGTGTGTGTGTGTGTGTAAGCACACATGTGCGTTCGTGAGATCTTTATGCTCTATGCATGGTCCCCTTCAGTGAGTTTGCACTGGCCACATCTACATGAGATGCTGGCTGTGCAGTCGTTACTGTGCAGTTACTCAGTTCTCGTGTAGACAAATACTAAATGACTGCACAGTAACCAGAGTTACTGCGCGGTAGTGCTGTCAAACAGCTTTTAGGTGATGCTGACTGTGCAGTAGCTTGTTACTGCTGCGCAGTAGCATCGTGTCATGCTTCCTGCCACGCAGTGCTGCCGTGTAGTAGTAATGAAGTATACTGCGCAGTCAGCGTCTTGTATAGATGTGGCCAGTTTATACGTTTTAGAATGCAGGTAGATCTTTGTCTTGCCTCTGGCGTGTCCCTTTGGTTCAGATTCAGGGTTAGGGCCTTTGGTTAAAAAGAAAAAAAACAGTTTCTTTATGGTAAAAAACAGCCCAAGGGGTCTCATCCACTGTTTCTGGTGTTTTTGTTTTAAAATAATTTTATTTCCTCTGTCAATATTTACGACACCAGAAAACAAAAACCATCCAGATCCTTTTAAGTAAATAGACTAGGTAGTAAATGTACAGTATTTATATATAACATCTGATTTTTATTCTTAAAATGTGTGATGGTGCAGTACAGGGTTTACACTGTTAAACACTGGGAACTTGATTCTGCATTGAGGTCAGTGTGGATGCAGCAGTTTGAGTGCCTGCATTGTGAGCTTACTGCTGATTCTGGGCTTTGGACCAAACACATAGTCTGGACACTGGCAGGACTCCAGTTAGGTTTAATGGGATTTTTTTTGGGTAAAGATTGGAAGATCAGGTCCATGGATTCTTAAAATAAGGAAGGTCCTGTGACAGAAAAATGACTAATCCAAGGAGAGGTATTTGCCCCATCTATCTGAGCACTTGGTTACTCATGGCTAGGTTTGACAAGAGGAACGTGGGTGGGGGAGGGGAGGGGAGGGGAGGGGAGCACCTCACATTGGGGTTTACTTGAGTTTAATTTGTACAGATAGTGCTTAAATAAACAACTCCAAATCTCCATCATCTGTGTTTTCAAGAAAGATTTTCCTGATTAGTTTCCCCCTTTCACACATTTCTGTGTACCGGACCCAGGGAGAATTGGCAGACACAAGAGGTTTAGTACATTTGACAGGTATACTTGGACCAAAAGAGTGCAACTTGACAGAAGTGTTCAATCTTGAACAGAAGTGAACAATCCTGTGTGTATGTTCCCTATTTGTTGTTTCAGCAAGTGTTTACTAAATCACGAATTGGACGCAACCTTGAGCAACCTGTTTTCACTGAGATCTGCACAGAGAACTTGCAAATGCATAAATGTTGTGCTAAAGTGACTCTTCAAACAGTCAGCTGTAGTCCTGTGACAGATCTCTTACAGGCCACTGAAATTAGTCGAAATCTTTCTATTGACTTTCATGGCATTGGATCAGGCCATCAAATCTTCAGCCTGTACAATAATTGCTTTCTTTGTGTTGCCTGGGAGTAATTCTGTGGCCTGCTGTCCTGTCGCTGTTGGTCAACAGAGTGAAAAACTCGGAATCAAGCTGGAAACTGGAAGGGTGGAGGCTGTTGAGAGGAGGCATGTACATTTAGGGGTCTGATGAAAAAGATCCGCTGTGCTAGAAGCTGTTACTGTGGGAACTATTTAAATGCCCAAACCAACCCCCCCCAACCACATTGCTAAATATAGCCCTCTTAGCATAGAGACAGTTAAGTACACTGTACTTGAAAAAAGCCGAAGAAAAATAATCATTTATATTATGATAAAGGTATTTCATTATCATTAGACATGATAATTCAGAAGTTTTTTTAGGGATCATTAAGCAGAGAGAAAGAGTTTTTGAGTTTTGAAATAACCTGAAATTTGGAAAAGGCAATTATATACTCAGTCAAGACTTCCCTTAGAGGGCTAGAGGCAGTAAAAAGTCCAGCATCTGCATTGCAGAAAACTTGTATTCTTTCTGAATGCTGTTGCAATGCAGAGGTTAGACATGTTGTATTGAATTAGACTCTTGACATTGAAAATGCCCTTTATTAAGTTATATCCAGTGCTAAGGAAAGCTGTTAGAGTCAAAATACTCACTACTCAATGAGGTGTAGTAGACTCCAGCAAAGTCTAATTTTAAAGTCTATTTTGAAGTGCTACATCTGCAGTTTTTTGTTCAGGATATTTAACTATGAACATATGCTGACTAGGTTTTCTGAGCATCCTAACTGTGCTAGATCAGGGGTTTTCAACCTTTTAAAATAAGTGTACCCCCAGTAGCCCCCTTTTAGTAAGTGTACCCTGGGTGGGGGGTGTAGCGAGCGGCCAGATGTGGAGCAGGGGTGTGGCGAGTGGGGACAGTGCAGCGTCTGTGCGGCCCTGCTCTTGCCACACCCTGGCCTTGCTCCTGTAAAGCAGTGGCATGGGGTGGCTGTGCTCTTTCCCCGCCCACCCGGCATACCCCCTGGGGCCTTTCAAAGTACCCCCAGGAGTATGCTTACCCCCAGTTGACAACACCTGTGCTAGATGGATAGTCTTATCTTTCAGATCATCTTTTAAAATCATCTTTTTAAAAAAAGCAACAAAGCAGTAAATATAAGCATTATTAGGTAGTTTGTCATGTTGTAACCAGAACATTGAGAAGCTTTGTAAATTGTATCATTCTAAATCTTCTGAAAATGTGTTGCAAAATCATTATTCCTATATCCCCGATTATTGCTAATAAAGACATGCTATATTAAATTTTCTTATTTCTGTTTCTTTCTTATATTTTTTAGAAAAACAACATCTATGTATTAGAAGCCTAGGAAACTTACATGACAAGAATGGTGCTTCCACTATGGGAAATGTGCCTTTACCTGTTTCTTTCATTTGGCTTTCACTTTTACTCTTTCTATGAAGTGTACAAAGTTTCCAGAGGTACGTTTTTGTGGCTGATATGTTCACTTTTTTATTGCTTTTCCCCTTTGTAGTTTCTGATGGCCAATTGCTGTTTTAATTCTACTTGTTTAATATGTTAGCTTTTTTCCAGGCAAGCTCCAGCAGGGTTTCACACTGGGACTTTGAACTGGAAGTACCTATACTCTCTTTTTCAGTGAACCAACGGTATAAAAATAAATATGAGGAGGGTGCCAGTGGACAAGGCTGCTTTTGTTAGAGTTTATTCTGAACTTGTGTTTAAGGTTTCAGGAAAGGCTCTATGGTGAAGAACATTTTGATGTTTGCCATTCATAGAAATAGATCAAATAGATCTTTGAATTCAGTTACAGATACATATTGTAAGAGAAAAAAATATAAAAGCTTTTCTTTAATTTTATGCAATGTAGAGCTTGGCACTCGGCCCTGCCCTGGGCTGCAAATCTGCATCCTCTGGAGAGCTCAAACTGCCTGAGTTTACTCTTGCTGCAAACACCTGGTCCCCCTCTGCAGCAAGGGTAAGTGCAGGCATAAGAGAGAAGCAGGGGTGGCTGTGGATGAAGGTATTGTGGAGACAGGTTGGTTCACCCCCAACACTGCCCTGGACTTGTTCCTCTTCACAGGCTGTATCAGTCTGCTGACCCTTGACTTGAACACTTCTCATGATAAAGATTCCAGTTTCTCTAGCCTTATGTATTTACTTAGGGGTGTGCAAAACAGGCTGTATTCGATTTGGATTTGGATTTGCCCCAAATTAGATTTGTTGAGTTGGATCACTGTCCCCAGTTTGATTAGGCTGAATCTGAATATTTGATGCTGATTCGGAAAATCAGTGATTCAGCCCTAGACACAGCTTTAAGTGTTTTTTCTACATACCTCAAGGTACCAGGTGTGGCTCGTGAATGCTGCAATACTGGGGCAGATGGAGCATCCCACAGGAGCATGGTGGGGGGGAGGCGTGTGCTTGGTGGTGAACCTGGAAGTGGACCAGAAGTAGTTCCAGTCCACTTCGGGTCCACAAGGCAGCTCACTGGGGGTCCCCCTCCACCTCAGCAATCAGCTGCGGGGGTACCATGGGTGCAACCCCAGACCCAGGAGACACCAGTCGCCAAGCTGAGGGGCCCTCCCGCGCGCTCCCCATCGGATCCAGAAGTGGACCAGAAGTGCTTCTGTTCCACTTCTGGGTCTGCTGCTGAGTGCGCTGGGGAGCCCCCCCGCGCTTCTGTGGGACGTTCCATCTGCCCCAGCGTCGCAGCGTTGACGAGCCGCCTGGTAGCTTGAGGTATGTAGAAAAAACATTTAAAACTCTATCTATGTCCAAATCACCAAATCTTTCCAAATCTCTCTCAATTGATTCGTAAGGTTCCAATTCAATTTGGAGAGATTAAAGGGTCTCCTGATTCGATTCAGATTCAGAGATTTGGCCACTGAATTGGTCTGTATCTCTGCTGAATTGTATCAGGGACCGAAGCTTTGCAAACCCTAGTATTTACTAACCAGTGCCATGAAATGCTGCACGCTGTATTATGAAATGAATGCTAATGTTTCATTAAAAATATCTAGATCCCAGTCCAGGGAAGTGTGTAAGCATGTACTTGTCTTTATGCATTATGAGAAGTCCCAATGAAATCAGTGGAACTATTCACAGTGCATAAAGTTGACTGTGCCCTTCAGTCTTTGCAGGTTGTGGCCTTTTGTCTGTAATTAGCTCTTCATTCACTACTTATTGCAACTGTCAATTCAACTATCCTTATTTCTCATTTTATGTATCAGTTCATTTACTTAGTTGAACATTGAAAGTACAAAAAGGTAACTCTTCATCCATCTTGTCCCTTGCTAATTCAAGAAATCAATGACTTAGAGCAGTGGTTTTCAACCTGTGGTCCATGGACCCTGGGGGGCCCACAGACTATGTCTAAGGGGTTTGTAAAAGATGATTGTGATCAATCAGAAGTATGTTAATACCCACAATTACAATTCAAAGGTGTTCGCACCTCCATTTGAAAATTTTTAGGTGTCTGCAAATGAAAAAAGGTTGAAAGTCACTGATTTAGAGCATTTTAATACTAGGTTGTTAAAGATATACTAGTCTGTTTGCTTATGATATATTTTAATGAAATAATGTTTTGTGTTACTGATATTTTACTACAAAATAATGTAACTACAACACTCTTAAATGATTTATGACAAGACATTAAAAAGATGCTATGACCACCTTTTAATTACAAAAACCGAACAGAATTATAAAATAGTCAAATGAGTATTATATATATTAAAATGTGTTCTTCAGCAGATAATTAAGCAGTAGGATTTATCTATTCTGGCACAGTACAGCAGTTTGCACCTGTTCCCATCTATTTACTCAAAGCTATCTTGTGTAATTGTTTCCTCTCATAATATCTCACTGTAGAGGGTTCTGCTGCACATCAGTTCTTTGATGGCTGTGGTGGTTGCTTTGTCTAGGAATCTGAAAGGGATAAGGGAAGTATTTAAAAGACATATTGGTCTTTAAATCATGTTTATGCACACAAACAGCTATATTATGGTCCCATGCTGGTATCAAAACACCTGCTTCCTTCAGTGTCATCCTTAACTGAGCTGTTGCAAACATTTAATAGACTTTGTGGGGATTGCTGTTTGAACTAACGTAAAATATTCTATTATACCTCTGTGTGCTATTGACTTTTTGGGGATTGATGTTTAGAAATGTTTCCTCTGATATTGTCTACCCTTGTAACAAAATCCTTTTACAAATGTATTCACTAACTTATTTCCAAACAAACAGAGCATTTTCAAGTTTCCAGCAACTTAGCCAGTGAAACAAAGAGCAAGTTGGATAGTTGAGGTTTTATTATGAATTGGTTGAACTCAAAATAAATTTCCAACATTATTGTTAGGTTTGGTTTATAATATTTTTAGCAATGATCTTATATCTTACTTATATCTTGTTTAGATTCATATGTGCATCCAAGCACAAATGATAGATATACTTAAAATTTAAAATAAATATACAAATATAATTTGTTATTGACATTTTGGATATCTTAATGCAAATCATTAATTTATCAATAAATAAATAAAAATAATTACTGGTCAGAGGAATAGTGAAAGTGATGCTGTATTTCAATCAGTCACATATTCTATGCTAAGGACATTAGTCTTGAAAAGTCTCGTTCATGGGCTTAATTGGATTAATGTGAGTAGTTCCACTGCAATCAATGAGCTACTCACATGAATAAAGGCAAGATCATGCAATAGTATTTGCAGGATCTAGCTGATTTATAAGATAATTGACTCCAGCACTTCAAAAAGCCCGATTTTAATGACAATTTCCCATAAAATGGTGTACAATATCATCATTTTTTTTTATTGCTATGATTTTTTTTTTTCAAGTCCCACATGTTATTTTTCCACTAGAGGGAGATATAGAACAGTCTTAAAAACTTTGAAAATAAAGATAAGTTTTTCTTTACTTTTTATAATTAGTAAAATAAGCAGAGATGACATAACATTGAACATCAGTTTTTAGATTGTAATTTCTAGCACCAAGTTCTATTGTATGGAAAGATGGTGAAAACTTGCCCAGGTGTAAGTAACACTTTTGCTACCATATTCAAATTGTCCTGAATGGATGAGTGGTAGGGGAAGGGGGCAAAATAAAAACATACTTTTCTCACTGCAGATTGCTGATACCATGCTCAGTAATTTTGCTGCATCTTTGTTTCATTTTGGTAGGCCAAGACTCTCTTTCTGTTTTTCTTCGGTAAAAATCAGTTTGTCTAAAATGTAGCCTTTCTGTTTAATTATTCCAATGCATTGTTTGTACAGTAGCATCCCATTGTGAAAAGCATAGGAAGACAAGCTTCTTGTCTTGAAGAGCTCACTGTTTTAAGACTCCAGCTTCACAGCTATTCCAAGTGAGTGGACCCAGGCCCACATTGAAAGCCTGACTGACTAAAGGCTCTGCTGAGAATTCTCCCTACCTGGAACAGGTTGCAAAGTTAGGACTTCAGTTAGGACAGGATACCAAAAGTAGTTGCAACAAACAACAGAAGGAAGAAGGACAAGAGTAACAGTGATAAGGTCACATAGTTACTTAGGCCAGCCACTCACCCTTACTTGCAGAGTAGTGGGAAATATAAATGTTAACTCTTAACTGCAGTTTTGGAAGAAGAGGATCTCTAGAAGTCGAAGTGAGATTGTTCTGAGAAGTGAAATAGAAACAATGGGTCCTTTAAAAATGATATGGATGCAGTGGGAAGAGCCAGATGCTTTCCACACTTTCAGTCTCATCAGTTGCTCAGGTGGAAGCTGACACAGTCCACTGGAGTGACCTTAGTTCTAAGCCAGAACTAGTCTTTTGACTTGAGGTGCCATCTCATTTTTATGTGTCTTCCCATCTGGAAGTCTATTTTGCTACCATATGGTGAGCACTTGGATGCTTAGATCTTGATCTGTAGGCATGGTTAGTTTTATTTACATTAAATAAGTGTGGATAAATGTATTTTCATGCTTTGTTTTCTTTACCTGTAAAATCAACTATGCATTAAGGATGAGAGGTCATGCAAGCCTCCAAATCTACAAAACCATCATGCTTCTACTTTGTGAAATTTGGGTGGCTGTGTAGCAACCACGGGAAAGTTAATACAGTATGTATGGTAGAGTTCATGTGGCTTGCATGGATCAGCATGAAATGAAGGCCTGAGGAAAGGACATTGTTATTGGTTCATAGTAGTGTGCATCCGTTGGCTAAAAATTATGGTAATGAAAGTTCAAGGAGTGCAGTAGTAGCTATGGAAAGTCCATCTTTTTTATCTTTGTTTGGCTCTGACCCTTGCAGAATTCCTCCTGTGTAGAGTTTTCCTGTCTTAGGTACTGTGTATATGTGGGACTGTAATACTGTTTAAAAACAAACTGAGCAAGCCAGCTGACTCTAGTTTCTGTTATTAATGGAGGTATTTGTTATTCCTGGCAGAGTATGAAGAGGAGCTTGACAGAGAATTTGAATTGGAGAAAAATGCTCTGTTTTGGGGACTTAAAAAGGTAAGATCGGTAAATATTACTGAATATTTGTTTTTATAATTTTAGTATAAATTCCTGTTCCTTGCAGTTCTTCTGAGATCCTCATTCTGTGAAATGTGATTAACTTTTACAACTGCAGCAAAACGTTGTATTCAGCAGTGTTCCCTTACTAGGCTGAGTACTTGGCATAGTCTGTGAATTGCTCTGCATCCATTGTTATGAAGCAGTCTCCTCAACAGACTCTCATAGAACTAGAGCAGCACTTGTAAAGCTTGGGTCCTTTAGTTCCATGAATGTAAGAACACAGAACTCAGAGGGGGAGAGAACTACAAGACTCTTACAGCCGCATCGTCTCTGTGTGCAAATTAGCACAGTTGAAGACAAAGTTGCATTGATTGATAGCAGGTGAAAATCTGGCGATTGAGGGCACTTACACACATGTGGGGAGCCTGCTTCAAAGCGCTCAAAATCCAGTGCGTCAGAACAGACTCAGTTAATTGAGTCTGCTGGAACACAGATTGATGCTCTCTGGCAGCCTCTCATGTCACATGTGTCAGTGGCACAGTGTGCCTCAGTGCTAAGAAAATGGTGGTGGTTTCCTTTGAACTAAAACACATTCAGTGTGTTTTAGTTCAGAGTGCACCGCTGCCATTTTCTCAGCACGGAGGTGCACTGCACTGCTGATACATGTATTTCCAACGCAGCTCTGGGTGCTTTTAATTAGCATGGCTTGCTAATTAAAAGCTCCCGGTGCTGTGTCAGGGGCACATGTAAAAATGCCCAGTGGTATGAACCCCTACCCTATAACTGTCACAGAAGCCTGAAGACCATATTTTTCACTCGGGTAGATTGCTGACTTCCTTGTCTTCAGGAGGAATTTTACTGTCATCAGTGCACTTTGTACAGATCTTTTGCAGATCTAAATAGTTCCAACTCTTAACAACTCAGATTTGTGCTTGAGTGGAATGGCAGGTTAAAACATGTGGCACTATAACAGGGGTGCCTGTTATATAAATTTAAATAAAAAATTATTTTGGAGGGCTGCTTACCCAGTTTTGGCAAGCTGTCGAGGGCCCCACGCTCCCATGCCTGCTCGCTCTCCGTGCCCCCCTCAGCCCCGCGGTACAGGCAGGGGCAGCACTCAGTCCTGACCCTGCGCTCGCCAGCAGGGAAGGAGCTGGTGCTGAGTGTGTGTGTGTGTGTGTGTGTGTGTGTGTGTGTGTGTGTGTGTGTGTGTGTGTGTGTGTGTGATGCAGGGCTGTCCTGACCAGGCACAGGCAGCCCCATGCGGGCTGTGAGCAGCTGCAGTGTGGAGCACCAGCCACAGGGCAGGGGAGGAGCCACTTTTCCCTGTGCTCAGTGCCAGCTTGTAACTCAACCCTGCTGCCAGCCTGGGTCCCACACTGGCTCTGGGCTTGCCCGTTGGGGATATGCCGAGACAGCAGCAGCTGCTCGGCGCGTAGGAAACTGGCCCCCCTGCTTGCTGCGTCAGGCAGTGTTTGCTGCTTCTGCCCACCTGGAGCTTGCACGCTGGGCAGCACAGATGGGCAAGCCCGGAGTTGGCAGAGGGCCCAGACTGGCAGTGGGGGCAGGTTACAAGCTGGTGCTGAACATGGGGAAAAGCAGTGCCTCCCCTGCCCCGTGGCTGGCGCCCCACGCTGCAGCCACTCACAGCCCGCGTGGGGCTGTCTGTGCCTGCTCAGAAGAGCCCCGTGCGGGCTGTGAATGGCTCAGCAGGGAGTGTGGGCCACAGGTTGGGGGAGGAGATGCTCTTCTCCCCTGCACTCAGCACCTGCTCGTTCCCTGCCTGCGGGTCTCCCCTACCCTTCCCCCCAACCTGAGTTTCCCATGCCGGTGCAGCCATGAGGAGCCACATGGTCCCAGGCCAGAAGCCCCTGCTGGGGCTTTTGACTGGGGGTGGGGGGCGGGGCCAGGCAGGCCCTGTTGTTGCAGGAGCCTGCTGGGACTTTTCCTGGGTCCTACTGCCCCTGGTTCCTGTAATCTTTGACAGGAACCAAGGACAGATAAATATTAATTTAAAAAAATTTTTTAGGGGCCCTGTGGGCCGGATAGAATGGCCTAGCAGGCCGGATTCAGCCCGCAAGCCATATTTCCCCACCCCTGCACTATAAGAAGGGAGACTTCAATCCCGTACATTTACTCATAAATTCAAATGTATCCCATAATTGAATGAGGTACATTAAGAATCTCCTTATAAAACCTAAGTAAATGCACTTTGAACACATGTTGGGATCCCTGTGTGTGTCAGGACAGGGATAGAATCATCCCTTTCATACAGCATATGAAGTACTAGCACAGTCATTCAACAGCTGCAACCAAAGCCCCTGGAATTGAATAATGGACATTGCCTCAACTGTTCCACTCCTGGACAAAGGTTTTAGCTCACAGATGTACACAGTAGTGGACACACTGTTGCCACTCATTCTTGAACCCTTCTTTGCTGCAGAGAGACCTCTTTTACATCACTGCTTTAATTGTGCAAGGAAGAGGGAATCTTTGTTTAGAAGCAGTGAAGGATATGAAAGGTGGAAACCAGTGAGACATCAAGGCTGATGAGAGAACAAACTTTGACCACTGTTACCTTCCCCCACAAATCCCTCAGTGTCACTTGGAGAACCACCACATCCAACTTTTTCATTTGGCCTCATAATTTAGGTTCCTGTCCTGCTGGGTTCTTTTTCTGTTTTGTTCTTTTAAAAAACCCTACAGTTTAAAAGTTAATTGTTTCCTGCAGAGCCGCATTCATTGTATGTAGAGTCCTACACATCCATGAATATGTGGGAGGGTTCAGAGTGTAAAAACAAATTCGTGTAGACAGATGTTGCTTACGTTTTGTTTTGTTCTGTGTGGGTTTTATATAAAAGAGGAGAAATACCCTTATCATTATTTTTCTTGCTTCAGGAATTTTTCCCTTTTGCTTTTCATCCTGTCATTTAATGTAGACTTTGGGTGGTTGAAGTTTTTTGGATAGTGTTCTCTGAAGGAATTGTTATTTCTTATTTATAATCTTGGCAGAATAATGACTCATTTAAATTGTTCATTTGTGTTAGGCCAAGGTGTTATTTGTAAAATGGAGCAAACACAGAACTCTAGTAAAATAGTTCATTGACAGAACCTTTCTGTGTGTCTACATGCAGATGTTAGGGAAGATAAATGAGCAAAATCCCGATTCCTTTGGTCATGTAGGAAGTAAAAATGAATCCATTCTAAATATCCGAGGAGAGCACCCAGAAGCTCGTAGGTGTAAAGGTTTTAAGGGTATTTGAGCCTGAGAGGATATTTGAGCCAGAGAGGTTCTTGTTAACATGAAGAGCTTCTGTGTTTACATGCTTCCATCACTTCTGCTCTGTTCCCTTGTGTGGATGTCTCATCTGATGTGCTACACACTTGACCTAGTGCAACAGAGAAAGGGACAGTGACAGTCACTTGTTATCTTCCCACAGCTGCAGTCATAAATTGTAACACGTAAATGCAATTCTCGGAGAAACAGTATAAGGTAATTGATAACTCAATGTGAATTTAACAGTGCATAGAAATAAATCTTTTTCTGGTTTTTAAAGGTCAGCAGCAGTGGCAGGAGACTAATCTACAGTTAGACCACTGTAGGAGTTGAGAGTAGATCAAAAATACTTTTTTCTTAAGGTCAAGAGAAAAAAAATGGCCGTATTTGCTTTTCGGTAATATGGGTTCAGTTTGTTTTATTGATAATTTTGTATTGGTTACTTAAAATTGTTACCATTTGACTAGTGAAAGAGCTGGTATCTTCAATATTGGTCAGAGAGATTTCTGGAGGATTTCCACTATTAGCAAGAATTATACTGTGTGTTTAAATTAGTGTGTTTTTCAGAGAAGAATCTCATGCTCACCAAGTGCTAGTTAATGAATATAAAGCTGGAAGATGGCTGTGTAAAATGTGCTCTTTCAAAATGTTGTGGGGCTCTGTACAGCGGCTGTCTGAAGTAGTAGAGGAGGAGGGAAAAGAGCACAGCCAACCTTGCTGACCTTTTTATTCCTGGAGACTTGAAGTCAAATCCCAATTTAAGTCACATATTGATATATTATTAGTCACCATTAAGAACAACAATGTACTTGCATTTTAAAGGGGTTATTTTCTCCCCAGTTACCCATTCCCCATGCCTCAAGTGGAAAGTTATGATATTAGGCTAAAGTTCCAGTGACTCGTCAGAGCTTCTGTCTTTTCCCTTTCTCTAGTACCAAACCTTCAGGGAACTTTGTTGTAAATAATAAAGGCAGAAAACATTATCAGAGGAGAATGAACTTGTAGCTTTACACTTGACTCTCATTCTGATTTCAGCAAGCCTGCTGGATATGATACAGAAAAACTGTTTACATTAGAAGAAAAATGTATAATAATATTTTAAATCTGATCTATGAACAAATAGTTTAAGTTCAGTAATGTGCCTGTTTAGATGCATGCATCTTTTTTATCTTGCTGAAATATCTTAGTCTTTAAGAATGTGTGCTGGACACATTATGAGATGCGATAGTTGAAGTGATTTTCGTAATTTTACTATGCGTAATTGTCAACAGTTGGCCGTTGTACTTCATTTGATAGTTTATGGCAGAACAGAGAACATTACATTTAGTGTCTTTTTGAATGCTGTGAGGGTGTGATTCTAGATTGCTTGTAGTTTTCAAGGGTCAAAACTGGGTCACTTCTAGAGACTGGAATTATTCTTGGATCTCTCAGTTGCTTCAGATTATATTCCATGGATGGTTTGCAGAATTAATTATCACATAGCACAAAATGTTCAGATAGGAAAATGTGTGTGTCTGCCTTCCTTGAAAAGATAATTTGTGGGTGCGTTTACACATGCAATTAATTAGAAGCAATGCACTTTGGAGCATTTTAAGATGGAGCAAACTACTCCCAGGCACATCATCTACACGTGTGCCCAGGACAGCAGAAATTTGAGCCAGGGTAAAGTAGTTTACATCAGGGCTGTTGCTCCTGCCCTGCTCGGCCCTGCTCAGCCCCG